TTCTTTCTCTTCCTTTATCACTCTCTATCAGTCTCTCACTCGTTCACTTTCTCTATTTTTTTCCTCTTTCTCTCTCTTTCTCTTTCTTTTTCTGTCCCTCTATAAGCTCTCTGTTACTGCTGTGTGTACATGTGTGTATGTGTGTGTGTGTGTGTGAGTGTGTGAGTGTGTATCGCATACAATAACATTTTGCTTTTCCAAGAATTACAAGACGCACTTCCTGACTCGACCCAAAAGCTTTTGTGCTTTGCAACTTCCTCTATAGCCAGGAGAGTCTCTCTCTCTCTCTCTCTTTCTCTCTCTCTCTCTCTCTCTTTCTCTCTCTCTTTCTCTCTCTCTCTCTCTCTCTCTCATACAGGATTTGTTAGTCATGATATGTTCTAGTGTGTTTGCTGCTGTTGTCGACCTGTTTAATAGTCACTGCTATCATTTTTCATATTGAAATGCTGCACATGTGTGTTTAAAAACAGATTTTGCTGTGTTTGAGTATGAAATAGTGCATCTGCAGTGTTGTTTTTATATAATTGTTGATGTGTTTGATCCTACTTGTTGTGACTTCACGTTGCTGATCTTAAAAGGGACTCAGCCGTCAGAGAGAAATACACTATAATCTTTTTGCTTGTCAGAAGACTCGATTGATGTGACATCTTTACTGTTACATTGTTACAGTGTTGTACTGTCGGTATTACGTTGTTATTGTTGTGCTGTTACATTGTTATTGCAACTGTTACCTGATTACATTGTTGTTGTTGGTGCTGTAACATTGTTGCAGTATCAGAGTGATGGTGTTGTTGCTGTTACATTGTAAATGTTAAACTTACATTGTTATTGTTACACTGTACACTGTTAAGTTTCTTGTTATGGCTGTGTTGTTCCGGTATTAGATTGATGGTTCTGTTACACTGTTAATGTTACGTTCTTACATTGTTGCTGTTACTGTTACATTGTTACAGTATTAGAATGATGTAACATTATTAGTTACATTGTTGGTACTGCTACATTCCTAAATTGTTTTGCTACAGTTACATTATTGTTGTTTTTAAATGTTTACATTATTTTTTGTTACTGTGACATTGTTGCACTGTTACATTATTGGGGTGTTACTGTTACATTGTTACGGTATTAGAACGAGGTTACTTTGTTAGTTATACTCTCACATTGTTGGTACTGCTACGTTGTTACGCTGTATTTGTTACATAGTTCAATTATTTTGATTTTTAAATGTTTACATTATTTTTTGTTACTGTTACATTGTTGCACAGTAAAAAAAATGCTTAGAAACTTAACTGAACTTCTGATAGTGAGTTAACAGAATGAGAATCTATGTCTTATGTATGTCTGTTTACTTACTATTTGAAGTTCCATAAACTCAAAATATTAAGCAGCCCAGTTTTTAACTTTTTTGAGTGTAAACACCTTTTTTTATGGTGTTGTTGTTAGACGATTGTTGTTGTTAGTGTTACATGGTTGCATTATTGATCTCAGAAGGTTGTGAATGAAGGTGTTTGAAATGCTGAGGGCTGGTGAGGGTTAGTGAATCTGCTCCGAGATCAGTGCAGGATGACGAGAGCTAAATATGAAATGTGTGTGTGTGTGTGTGTGTGTGTGTGTGTGTGTGTGCAGGGCCGACAGTGTGGATCCAGAGTTACTCTGCTTTCCTGTGGGTGATTCTGTAGCAGCAATGCGAAGGGGGAGCACAGAGTCTGGCAGCCAGAGTGAGACACACACACATACATGCACATTAACCACACACACATTCTCACAAAAACCTCTTTCTAACATACACACAGCCACCCACCCACCCACACACACACACACACAAACACAAACACACATTCATTGCATTCATAAACTCTCACACACATACATTAACACACACTCGTATGAAGAACACACATGTTAGAACACGCTGAATTACACTGCACTACAATTTACTGCTTTACTGCTTTTTGTGAATGTAACTGTATCTGTGTAGTGGTCACTCATGGCCTTTTGACCCCCAGGCTCTCCGAGCTTCGGGCTGGAACAGGCGTACCATAAGACAGATCACTTTCTGTCGTCTTACCCATGGTTCCACGGTCCGATCTCCCGGGTCCGGGCCGCCCACCTGGTTCAGCACGCAGGGGTGGGAGGTCACGGGAACTTTCTGGTCAGACAGAGTGAGACGCGGAGGGGAGACTACGTCCTGACCTTTAACTACCAGGGCAGAGCCAAGGTAACCTTCATCATAGTTACCGTCACCATCACTGCAATCACCATGATCACCATCACTACTATCACTATCAACAGCATCATCATCAACATGATTATCACCATCATTACCAACACTTTCAAAATCACCATCATCAACATCCCCTCATCTAACATCACAAACATCATTTCCATCACTACAAGTCATCACCATGATCAAGATCACCACTGTCATCATCACCATTACAGTCATCACCACCACCGTCCTCATTATAATCTATCACTATAATCACATCACTATCATGATCATCATCACCACAAGCACCGTTATTACTATAATCACCATTATTATCATAATGATCACCATGATTGTGACCAACATCACCATCACACTCATCACCACCACTGTCTTCATCATAATCACATCACCATCACACTCATCAACGTAAGCACCGTTATTACTGTAACCACCATTACTCTAATCACATCATCACTACCATCATCCACCAACACCACACGGTAATCACTGTCATCATCACCATAATTCCCATTATCACATCTCTGTCATCACATTACCGTCACTACATAACCTCACCATCATCATCACCACCATCACCACCATTTTTTTGGTCACCATCATTATTATCCTCATTATCACAATAATAGCTATCATCACCATCATCGTTACAATCAACACCATCGGTATAATAATTATCACCATAACCAACATTGTGATCAGCTTCACCATCATCACTACGATCACATCACTTTTTATCATCACTTACATCACCATCATCACCCTTCATCACATCATCACCACTACCTTCATTATCACTATCACCATCATTTTCAGCATCACCATTATCAGCATTGTCTTCATCATCATCACCATCAAGAGATCACTAGATGTTTAGAATAATCTGCATATGGAATCACAATAATATTTGGAAATACAAGAGACAATATAATTAAAATGACAAGTTATATTAGATAAAAAAGTGTAGCGGAAGGTTTATTTTTGTTTGTTTGTGGAGTCAGTAAGGTTTACATGTACTTCTCTCTCTCTCTCTCTCTCTCTCTCTCTCTCTCTCTCTCTCCTTTCAGCACCTGCGTCTGTCTCTGACAGAGTGGGGTCAGTGTCGAGTCCAGCACCTCCGTTTCCGCTCCGTAGTGGACATGCTTGCTCACTTCCGCGTCTATCCAATCCCACTGGAGTGTGGGGCGGCGTGCGACGTCCTGCTGGCCAATTATGTCCTGGCCACTCCCACCCACTCAGGTGAGAACAGCTTGGTGTTTAAATGTTGTCATTAGAGGAGAAAGGAATGGAGTGACTGTGCTCAGCTAACACTGATGCTGCAGAGTTAAACCTGCTGACTTTGAGACTGAAAGGAACAAAGAGTTCTAAGCGCAGTTCAAACAGTTCAGCTGCTCTGTTTGCAACAACAGATGTTTGTGTCAGAATCTTCAAGCGAAACAAATGCAGGATCAGATTTTGACGAGCGTTTGGACAGGTGCGCGCTGTTACACGTGTACACAAACATGCAGATAAAGCTCGGCAGGATCTGTTTCCCTCTCAGCTTTGTGGTTAAGATGAGTTTTAGAGCTTCTGAGCAACCCGAGAGAAGGAAACACACACACATATACACTTATATGCTCACATGCACCTTCACACGTGCTCACACTCCTGCACAGGGTTCTCAGACTTACTGAAAAAGTCTATAAGTTGCAAATAGGCTTTAAAAAATGTGAAGTCCAAAAAAGTCTTAATTTTATATTGTATTAAATTGTAAGATGATGACTAAAGTTTAAAAGAGTGAGAGTCTGTTAATGTGATGTGTCATGCACACATCTCAAAGCATGTATATACATGTTTGATATTCAGTGTGGTTTAGTACATTCCATTTTTGAGTTTATTGTTTGCAGTAAAAATGTGATTATTTTACCTTTTTTTCCTTTTTGAAGACTTTACAGGTATTAAACAAGTACAGAATTTGACTAAATAATTATTGTTATATATATATATTATATATATATATATATATATATATATATATATATATATATATAGAAATTTTTATTTAGTCATATTCTGTACTTTTTAAATTCTTGTTAAGCCCTCAAAAAGGAATATATATATATATATATATATATATATATATATGTATATTGCTGCTGTCTAAAGAAAATCTCATATCTCCAAAACGGTAACTTTACAGGAGAAGGAAAAAACGTACTTAACTTTTAATGTAAGTCAATGAAACCAGACTTTTTTCCAGGTAATTTTGGTCCATTTTCCAGTAATTTGCAAGTTTCTTTTGGTCCATTCATCATGAAATTTACACACAATGTAAGGAATTACAGGCATTTTCAAATGATGTCAAAAACTGAAAAACAAAAATAGAGAAACGAGTTTTTCTTCCGATAACATATATATATATATATATATATATATATATACACATATTTATATATATATATTTCACAGCAGCTCTACACTTTTTAGCAGCTACAATATGAGCAGATTTGAGTTCGAAATCATTACTGAAGGACTCGGCACCTGAATATCTGTCACAAGCAGGCTTGCACAGCTGCTATAGCACTACTGTGAGCATAGTGCCTTTTAGGAATTAGCATTATTGCAGTGGAGTAAATCAGAAAGAATGGATCACGACTGAAGGGGTTGTTTACATTCAGATTGTCTGAATGGATCATCTTCGGCTGGATGTAAATCAGTCTTGTCTTAGCCAGCTCTTATTTTCACTACAGTGTTTCGGTGGTGCTGTAGTTCTTGGGCCCACAGAAGTCCAAAGTAATCAGCTTCTTGTCATTCATGCCGGCCTCACACCAAACGACTTTTCAAACGATTTCACTGTTGCAGACAAATATCCAGTGTCGGAATAAAATCATGAGAGTCTTGCTAGGGTCGGGTCGCACTCGCATCATCTCGATCCTTTAGTGTGAGCTGGTCAGGACGGCCGTCTCAGTCTTTTTCTCGTCTTGACGCTGCGACAAAGTCAACCATGTTTCATATTATCGTAAGTTTTAAGTCTTGGCTCATGCAAATAGTGACGTGCCAGGGGCGCGTGTGAGTGCTTGCAGGCGAGCACATTCGCGCGGCGCGATATAATAAGTAGAGAGAGAGAGAGGATGCATGTGCGAGAGCCTGAAATCTCTGTAAACACGGCAAATCTGCTCCCCTTCAATACAATAATCATATTAACTTAAAATGTAAACTGGCTGCTTTAATATTTCAGGTTCTCTGAGTGGAACAGTGATGTGGTTAAATGTGCAGAGGACTTTAAGAACGACACTATTGAAGAATCATCAATGGTTTTTTTTCCTTTTTTTTTCTTGCTTTCCATTACAGTGCTTTCTTATTTTGTTTGTTTTTTTATGGTTTAGTTCATAACACCTAATCAACAGCGCTGAATCTCTGCATGCTGTGTTGATGTGTAAATTTTTATATCAAATTAAAGAAGTAGCTGCACATTTTACAGGTTAATTAAAGACTCTGGGTGATGATCTGTCAGAGTAAACAGCTCTACAGTGAACTGAGCCCCAGATCTTTACACGCCCAGCCAGCGTGTCTTCCCATCTGTACCACTACAGAGTGGAAGGAAAAGGTTTATCTGCTTCTAAATTTCCACCAGGTGCATGATGGGAAATAATCTCAAAAATCGGTCTTGTAAACAGTGACACTGCAAGATTTCTCATCTTTGCAAAATCACAGTCTGTGACTAAAAAACGTGACACGGTCTTTAGATGTGAGAGGGAGTCAGACTTTAGTCTTTTCAAAGTCTTCTAGTATGGTTAGCATTAGTAAAATGACATGGTCGCCAAAACTGAACCCTTATTTTGAAGCCTGTTTTCTTTGAAAGAGAGGGAGGGCTCAGCCCCACCAGCCCACTTATACCAGCCACCTGTGCTGGCTATGATCAAAACCAGGCATCTGGGTGCATCCTATCAAAGTGTGCGGGGGGGTGGGGCTTATGATAGACACACCCATGCTCAAAAGACTGGGCTTCTCCTGATCAGTTATAAATTCTGGGCTGTGATTTTTGGGGTTTCAGGTGGTGAAAAAGCTCTGTTGGAGAACTTGTACTTATCTGAGCCAAACAAATCTGAGATCTCTCAACCAGAGAGATCAAATCTGAAAAATATGTCTGTTTTTATGCTCATAACACGCATGCATGTATGCTGTGCACAAACCGCAAACATCAGCATTAACAAGGCACACATTCAGGCACTCTTTATTTTTGCAGTAAATCGGTAAAATTGGTAAAATGTATTGTATTGAGACACAACCGTATTAAAATTTTAATTATGTGTATCATTACACCTCCATATGCACACACATCTGTATATCTAAACCACCTCATCCAGTCAGTGAGCCTGAAAAAAATCCACACCAGGTGGTTTTAATGAGCAGAAATTGCCCCCTGTGGGACAAGCAGAGTAATGCAGCTTATGAGGAAAAAGGAGGAAACACAGCTGAGGAAAGATGAGGTAGTTATTCCAGTAAAGTAATCTATTACAAATGACTAATTACTTCTCTCAAACTGTAATGGAATTAATTATTACTGGAAAAAGTAATATCACTACTTACTTCTGAGTTACTGTCTAAAACCCAAACACATCTGTACCAACGGTACAAACCCAACAGTCGTTTCAGCACTTTATTTACAAAGGAGCAGCCAATCACAGTAAACATCATTTAAAAGCTCTGTCAGTATGTGTATCTAGAAAATTGAGCTGTATACCCATGTCTACTCATCTACTGTGATGAAAGGATAAAGCAAAATAACAACAAAAACTGGGGATCAAAACTGTTTAAGAAGCTGCTGACTTGAAGGGACATTTGTATACAACTTTTAGGTATTTTGACAGTTTTCTGCAAAGATTTCCAATTTCGATAAATTCATTACCGTGAATACAGCAAGCACTACAATGTGGCTTTATTTTATTCATTGTTTTTATATCTATGAATGACAGTTTCTTTATAACACATCACGGCTATCAGAATTACAATTAATATGATAGTGTTTTTGTTTTTGTTCGTTTGTTCAATGACTTTTCTCTATATTTTCTGTTGTTCTCTTTTAACATATTAATATACACCGATCAGGCATAACATTATGACCACCTCCTTGTTTCTACACTCATTGTCCATTTTATCAGCTCCTCTTACTATATAGGTGCACTTTGTAGTTCTACAGTTACAGACTGTAGTCCATCTGTTTCTCTGCACACTTTGTTAGCCCCCTTTTACGCTGTTCTTCAGTGGTCAGGACCCCCATGGACCCCCACAGAGCAGGTACTATTAGGGTGGTGGATCATTCTCAGCACTGCAGTAACACTGACATGGTGGTGGTGTGTTAGTGTGTGTTGCGCTGGTACGAGTGGATCAGACACAGCAGTGCTGCTGGAGTTTTTAAACACTGTAGAACTACAAAGTGCACCTATACAGTAAGTGGAGGGGATAAAATGGACAATGAGCATGGAAACAAGGAGGTGGTCATAATGTTATGCCTGATCGCTGTATACATTGCTATACAAGCTATATAAATATGTTTTTTTAACTGTCAAACCAAGTGTGTCTCCGGCCATCCATTCTGAAGCCTTGTTTAACTCTGCCGCCAGAGGAGTTACGGTGCATGCATGTCAGCGTTGCCCAGAGTGAAACATCAGTGTTCTACTCTGTTTCTGTCACTGTTTAAAACATGCACAACACTTGCTTTATTGTTGGATGCACTAAAGATAAAATGTGGATGATGTGTGACATATTGCAGTTTCTTATTCCAAAATGTAGTTGTGCCATGCACCCGTCCCCTGGGCCCCGATGATGACCGTGAGAGCCGGCAGGAAGGTGGGGCTGAACTCCCCCGTGAGGACAGCGAGTGGATGGCGTGATTCCCAAACCTTGCCTCTTGGGCACCGCATCCGGTCCTGCGGCCCTCATCAGGACCCAGGGGACGGGCGCATGGCACAGTAGTTTATGAGAATCAAATGGAATCAAAGTTTATGCATTTTAAGCTTTTTTAGCTCAAGTTCTTCATGTGACAAATACGCTGTTTTATTAGTGAAGAACATTTTTGTGTTGGCTTCAAAGAGTTAATATTATTATTATTACAGTGTGGTGCTCTCTTTCTTTTCCAGGTCATTGTTCTGCACTGGGTTCTCCAGTGCTGGTGCCTTTCTCTCGCTGCAGCTCGGAGCCCAGCTTGGCTCACTGTGGCCTGGATCTGTTTCCTCCTACGCCTCCTTCCAGCGCCCCCCCAACTGGGGCCTCCAACACTCCTCTGCACCACCAGCCACTGCCAGACCGCCCAGGCCCCTCCCCCGACCGTATAGGCCCCGCCCCCCTCCGCCGTAGCGAGTCTGTGGGCCGCCGGACTCTCCTCCGCCACCCCAACCCCCTCCCCCCTCTTCTCCACAACCGCGACTCAGATTATGAACTGGAGCCACCAGACAGGGGGCGCAAGAGAGCCATCGACAATCAGTATATGTTCTTCTGAGGGAGAGGGCAATGAAGAAAGCAGCCAGAGCACAGGACGTCCGATTTGGGGACAGAGAGCTCTCCAGGGTGCTCCTCCAGTAGGGGGCGCAAGAGAAGCCAGCAGATACCCAGAATTCTGTGGTGCAGGGAGATGAAGGAGAGAGGGGCCGTATGTCAATTTGTTCTTAAAGTCTTCCGCTAATCACTATTTGTGGGGGTCTGTGTGAAAGGCCCATTGTTGCAAAGGTGGAAGTGGTCCAAAAGGCCCTCCTTGAGCAAAGCTGCAATGGTGCAGGCTCGAAAAGCCAGGCTCCCACTTTCCTGTTCCATTATTCATTGCTCCTGGAGTGTCATTTTATGTGGAAGGTCACTCAAGAGTGACGTGGGAATGGGGCAGATTGATAAAGGTCCAGGGAACCGAATGAGTGTTTCTGTGAGCAAGCCAACGTGCCAGATACACTCTTCCTCTTGCGTTAGTGAGAGGTCTGACAATCATATCCTCCTTGAATGTATTTTAAATTTTTTGTCACTATTAAGTAGAGAGGCGTGGTGGACAGGAGACAGCATCCCCAGAGTAAAGCCTTTCCATTCTGGTCAACAAACACTGAAAACCTTTGGTGATTGTTGGGACTCTGTAGAGCAGGGGTACCCAGCTCCATTCCTGGAGATCTACCATCAAAAAGAGATTAGTTCCCTCACATTTGATATTCAGATGATCCTGAAGACCATGATTGGTGTTGAATTAGGTTAGGTTGGATCTAAGGACAGCAGATCTTCAGGACCAGAATTGGGCATCCTCACTCTAGAGCATTGCTTCCCAATGCAGATCTCAGGGCCCACTAGACCTGAGATCTTCAAATCCATACCTTGAATCCAGTTTCCAGTCCTGGGTTTTTCAGCAATGGTAGGTATGACACTAGATGGGCAATTTGTAACATCAACAGGTCAGTTAGGTACTAGTAATTAATACTGGACCGGAAACTGGTTTCAAGATCCATATTTAAAAACCTCTGCACTAGAGGGTCTATGTTAGTCTCCTTAATAGCTTGGTTGTGTACAAATTTGGACTGTCTAGTTGGCTCCAAGGACTAGGTTGAGAACCACTGCTCTACAATGTTATTCCCCCATTCACAGTGGTTCACTGGGCTTGTCAGAACTTTCCAAAGTCAACATTAGCAGTTGATGCCATTTGTAGGTATTCATCTGACACTAGTGGCACAGTTACTAGTGAGAATATGATGTATGAGGCAGGGACAGCAAGAATCAGAGTCCCAGACCTCAGCAACCCACAGCCACTTCATATTTCCCTTGTGTTCCAGCCCCCTGACTCAGGTGATCGAGGGCTCAAGAGCAACATCTACCTGACCTGGGTGCGCTGGGACCTGGAATAGAACCCAAGCATAGATTGGGGATGTGGCCAAGGATGTGATCTCTGTTGTGACGTGTCAGATGGGGGGATAACTGAATGGATTTTGAATGTTGGACTTGGGAAGGAAAAGGGTCTCATTTATGAAATTTGTTCGGAATGCATAAATTCGCAAATTCTATTTATTTTCACTAGAATATACTATCATTTTCCACAGTGGTTACTGTGAGGACAAATCTGTAATCTTAGTCTTGTCGTGGAAGTTTATTTGCTTGCACTCCCTGGTTCTTCACATTTTTTGATGTATGCATCAAAAGCATGAAGAACAAAGAGGAGGGTTCTTGAGTGGCACAACGGTATAAGCATTGGCGTAATCATCTGGAAACTTGTGAGTCCGATCCCCTGAGATGCCATAGCCATCCGTTACTGCGAGTCCAAGAGAGCATGATTGGCCTCGCTTGCTCGGGGTGGGTAGGACTATCCTCCCTCTTCCCCGGGCATTCAGTGCAATGCTAGCCAACATGGGTGATGTTAGCAGTTAGGCAATTTGAAAAGATGTGGTGGCACTTAATGTTGGTAGCATTGCATGATAGAGGGAGACTTAGTTAGTGGCTGGGATTAAAGTATCGATATTCATGAGCTTCCTTTGATGTTGTCCAAATATAAATCACAGAATCTGTAGAACCAGGGATTGCCTGCAAATATCTTTAGATCTCACAAGCTTGTGTACAAATAACAGCTTGTTTACACCATTTTTGACAAAACAGAGTTTCATTATAAGATCAGATCCATGGAATTTAGGATCAAATGCATACTCGCAAACCTTTTATAAATGAGATCCAAGGCCTCTTAAACCATGACAGTGTTTAACCCACTTACGCTCACCCACACATTCAGAATGTGCATTTTAACTCCAGCTTAGATAAAGAGATTGTGCCAGCATGCATTGTAATTGGGTAAGCTAATATTTGTTGCCTTAGACAACAACCAAAGACTCATAGGCCAGTAGATGCGATCTGGTAATGTCGATGAATCTGGCAGATAGTAGGAGTCCTGTGGTTGGTGGACTGTCAAACTTGAGACAGTTATAATAGTATAAAGTGCTAAACTTATATTGAAGGACTATTAGCATGTGCCTTAGAGAACTCGGTGAACAAAGATCATGGCCAAAGATTTTTTAGTTCAGCCTAATAATATCTGACTGTTGTTCACAGGTAAGCTGAGGTAACGCATTCGCAGTTTTTTGTGTTTGAAGTGTTTGAGTTGTTTGGTGATTCAGACCAAAAGCTGTTGCTTTTCTACCACATACGTGCACAAAGAACAGTCTAAGTAAGACATCCTGAATTGTTGCTCTCAGCTCTGAAATCACAAAATGCAGAATTAAACCAAAAAAGCGATCAGGTCTGACTCAGTCTTAAAGCTAGTATTAGATAGAGTATTTCTTAGCATTGTTAGTCAATCCAGTGCTCTAGTTTCCATCGTGTGGATTAGCAAAGCACTACAGTTGCAACCGAGTGTGACAGCTAACAGATTTCAGGTTCAGTTCAGGTGAGGAGATCCGAAAGGTCAAATCAGATGAAGATGAAGTCCAGTGACACATCGGGAATGAATTGATAGATGGTCTTGCTAACAGCTACCTTGTCTTAAACGTTAGCTTTCCAGAAAGCTAAGAGAAGATCTGAAATATCGAATCAGTTATAGAAAGGTTTTCCGGTGACACATCAGAAATAAAGGTAAAGATGGCTTTCTTGTTGTTCTTGTAGGTTAGCCACATTTTCAATCTGGCTAACTTTGCCTTTAACGAGAAGGGGACAGCAGCGCCCCTTCTGGGATAGAGTGCAAAAGAAATTTGACCTGTACAAGATCATTTGAATACAGTCTTGACTTAATATTATATTTCTTGCATAATCAGAGTCTGCGATCAAAAGTCACAAATCACAATGGTTTAGCTAATCAGCCCTGCGAAAGAAAAGCAACGGTATCTTGCAGACCCTCACGCTCCTCAACCTGCTTTTCTCACCGAATTGTGGGAGCAGTGTCTCGAAAGGCATTGTGGTGCAGAGATCATCATATGAGTTTCCCTGAATCGGGTCACTGCGATGCTTTTCAGAACCGGTTCCCCTGCTGCCTAGCACATGGTTTCTTCTTGGATATTTTCAGTCATCAATTTTTCTTGCCGTAGTTATCACAGGACGCATTTATACCCCTCTCAGTTGCATTAATTGACATTTTACGTTTTTATACAGTGAAGCAATAAGTTTTTATATTCTGTTTGAATGGAAGTGCCAACTGTATCCACGATTCACTACCTCGCAATGCATTGTGGACTGTGCGTTCTAGGTGGACTGTTTTCTGATTGGACGGTGATGGGGAGAGGGGTGGGAATCAGTCAATTCTCTTGTTGGAGTTTTTCCAGATTAAATAATTCCTTAAATTGTCGTGCTGCTTTGCAATTGACCCTGAATGTCTAATGTAATTGTAAAACACTTGTTTTATGCACAAACAATAGATAATTTGTACAGCTGATTTGATTTGTATGTATGTATACAGATTGAATTTCAACACGCCTGACAGAGAACAACAGCATAGGGAGACGCCCGCAACGTTTTGCCAATAATATTTAATACCCCTGAAGTTCTCGGTCTGGACTTTTAAGACCCTTTCAGGAGTCCACATTCTTGTTCTGTCCCCAAAATCCTGACATACCTCAGCCGATTGATCTAGGTCTGCTTCAGGGGTGCTATGAGCTGGAACAAGGCCTGGGAGACAAAACAGTCATGATAATTATCTAAATCAAACATTTTTTGTATCTTGATAAAAGGTTTTTGAGGTATTTTTGTTACAGTAATTATGCGGTGCTGTTCCTCAATTCGGCGTTAGCAATAAAAGCTTGAACTTTGGTACTTCAGTACACTAGGTGGCGATGTAACCAGCAGGACTGTTAGCTAGTCGAGTAATCCAGCTAACTAATTTTATATATTCTATGATATATGTAAAATATTTATTTCATATCTACTCTTGTATATATAGTTAGCTATTTTTGTATATTACATAAAAAATAGCTTTTATGTTTTTCATTGTTAAAGATAATATTCAGAGGTTAGCAAACTATTTTAATATATTTTTATATACATTCTTATATGTGACTAGCCAGCTAATTTTGTATGTTACACAAGAATTAGCCTTTTTTTATTGTTCACAGTAATATTCAGACTTTTGGCATCAGGATATGTATGCAATAATTATCAGTATCAAATATATGGAAAAATCTCTTGCAATCAGATGTTTGGCGTTAGCGTCCAGCCCTAGCGGGAACAGAACGAAGATGTGCTGAGGGCTCCTAGACGACTGGACTGAAAACTTCTGCTGTAGGTCAGACACAGCGCTTTTGCTGTTCCTGGGCCAGTTTTCACTGGTTTGGCACACAGACTGGGACAGACCTCAGATCAGTGAGGGTGGTCTGGGTGGTCTGAGCTGGATGAGGAAAAACAAGCACATTAGCTTTATTCACACAGTGGCCATTTTGCCCGTTACTTAACACTCAGGGTGCAAAATTCAGTTTAACTACTATGTCTTACTGCTGTCCAAAACGTTTCCCATATCACAATCAGAATCATGTTTATTAGCCATATACATATAAAAAATCGGACAAACTTTACTATTGTTGCCAATGTTATGTCAATAACCTGAAAGCTAGCAGGCTAACTCAGCTAACCTGGCTAACTTAGTCTGGCTACAGCACTTTAAGTGCACGGTCTTAAAGTCAGTATGTTAGCTAGCTAAATTAGTCCAACTACAACCTTTTAAGTGCAGCCGGTCTTACCGACAACAGTCTTGCTAGCTAACATTAACAAAAATTAGCACAGACCAGCATAGCTGTTCACCACGCTGGTCTAATTTTGGTTTCCCAGCTAAACCAGCACTAGACCAGAATAAATAAGCTGTTTTTGTCAGCAGGGATAGCTAACTTAGTCTAACTGCAGCATTTTTAGTACAAAAATTTCGCTAGCTAACCTAGCAGACTTCTGATTAGTGTTTTAATGCACTGGGTCTTACCACCAACAAGTTAGCTACCTAACCTGGCTAACTTTGTTGTGTACACCATATTTTTTTACCTAGCCTGGCTAATTCAGTCTAACTAAAGCATTTTAAGAACACTGGGTCTAGCTAGCCTAGCTACACTAGCTCACTTGGCCTAATTATGGTCTTTTAAGTGCACCAGGCCTTCAACAAGTTAGCTAGCCTAGCTAGCTTAGTTATGACTCATCTTTATGGTTAGCTGTTTATATATATTTTTATATGCATTCTTATATATAGTTAGCCAGCTACACAAGAATTTGCCTGTTTAGCTAACTAACCTAGCTAGCTAAGTTATGCTTTATCTTCATGGTTGTAGCTTTAACCTTCAGCCCAGGTGCTGACCAATTTCTCACCACGTATGTGACGTAATGAGCTGAATGACCAGCGTGTGAATAAGCTGAATGGTTGCGGCGTCTCCTGTGTCTTCAGATGCTTTAGTGCTGTTTGTCCTGTCAGATGATCAGCCAATGAATGTATGTGAATGGAGAGAGTCTATACAGATGTTTTTGTTTTTCGGTAAAGTGGGTGGGGGTAAGTGATTATGCTGGTGAGTGATTGGACTCTTAAGCCGAACCCCGTCTCTGGACTTAACCCGATCATGACCCTGACCGTGCTGACGCAGAGACGTGCACCAAAAGACGTTTTTTGTGGGTAAGAAGTCTGTCTAGACTGTCTCCTGTCCCAATACTGTTGATGAGTTTGATGTTACTTTTTTTTTAGCACTGTAAACCCACATGCTTCATCCCTCGCTAGTTTAGCACTCTCCCAACCGCTTTGATTTCAGATGTATTTCCTGTTACTTTCCATGTAGCTAAATGCATATTAAATTATATCAACTGTATATTTGACCTTTTCTGTTTTGTTTTTTTTTTAGAAAAAATAATAAAATTATTGTTAAAATCTTTTCAGCACAACTGCGAGTCTTGATTTCTAACCAAAAAAAAAATGAAGGACCAGCAAAGTATGGTGGCGGCAGCGTTTAGTTGAATTGGTCACTGAAATCGAATGTGACCAAGAGTGCAGTTCCAGGATCAGCTCGGATTAACAGTAGTAATTGGGACGTAGACCTGATTCCAGCTCTCTGAGGACGGAGCCAGGAGCACTAAGGGTGCGTATGAGTAATGCAGGTTTAACACTGTGTAGATACGGTAAACTTAAGTTTATTGTTTTCTGGAAATGCGTCTTGTAAATGGAGAGATCACAGGCCAGCGGAGAAACGTTAACAGACCCACCACAGTTAGATCTGACTGAAAACACAGTGGATGTGTTTAAGTTCCACTGTTCTCTATCAGTGTAGCATAAAATTAAACATTAAAAGAACATTGTATGATTACGGAAAACAAGTACAAGGAAAAAGATGCATACACACACTCACACTCACACACACACACACACATACATATATATATATATATATATATATAATCTTGCACAAAAACTCTGTTTTTTGTCATTTTTTACTTCTTTGCATAATTATTCAGTTACTCTTTGTATTGTGTTAAATTTTATAGTGTACGGACCAACAGAAATGGTCCAGAATGACTTGGAAAAAACTCTGGTTCCATTGACTTCCATTACAAGCTAAGAATGTTTTTTCCTTCTCCTGTAAAGTCAACATTTCAGAGATACATATCTCCATATATATACAAGCAGCACTGCACAAAGCCCCGACAACTAACTCTACTCTCAGCTGTGTCAGTGTTCAGTGAGTCACTCTTTACCTTTATTCCAGCTTCCATTCTTTTCAGGAGACTCACTTTCAGTTCCTCAAAGAATCTGCAGACACTCCTCCAAAGTTCAGTGTTAGAAGTTGGTTGATCATTTTCTGTGTCTCACCATCCCAATAAACCAGATTACTACAAAAATAGGTCGTAGTTTGTATAATAATGTGCTTCCTGGAGGTGAGGTTTGTTTAATGATTGAACATGAACATACATAAAATCACTACTTTATTGAAGGTTATTTGAGAATGTTGGAAAATGTAAACTAAGCAGAGTTAGACTTATGGCACGCACTTGGAGCCAAAACATCTGATAAGCAACCGCCTGGACGCATAAAAATATCACGTGTCCACACGTCAACAAATTTGTGTTCAGGCATCTTGACGTCTTATGTCCCATCAGTTAAGCTGTATGTGAATACATCTGCATTTTAATAAGGGGCGTGGCAACACCTGATGAGATGCCATGTATGTTATTCCATATTTATGAGGTGCTTACATGTGTCATACCTTTCTAATCTGCATATCACTGTTGTCGGAACAAAACCTCATATCTCCAAAATGAGAACTTTACAGGAGAACCAAAAAACATACTTCACTTTTGATGTAAGTCAATGGAACCAGACATTTTTCCAAGTCATTTCGGGCCATTTCTTTTGGTCCATTCATCATGAAATTTACACACAATGTAAAGAGCAACAGGCATTTTCAAATTATGTCAAAAACTGAAAAACGTCAAAAATGCAGATACGAGGTTTTGTTCCGACAGCAGCGATATGATAATACGTACACTCTTACATTTTTGGTGCTATATAGAACCATAAACAGCACATTCACCATCTGAAGAACCAATTCACCATGCAAAGAACATGCTAACGTTTCTATATTGAGCTCATGGATCTAAACAGAACCACTCCCTTTACCTAAGAACCCTTAAGGAACCATCTTTATTAATGGTGCAGGATTCTCAAAACTGACAGCCTATTTCGCCGTTTTGGCCCCGAACGCGTGCCATACAGACTCGTTCTGCACTTGAGGCCGTCTGCGTTTGCGTGGAGGTGATGTCACGCTGCCCCACGTCACGGCCGTTGCGTCATCGCCTCGCGGAAATACACGGAGGCTCTCGGTTTCGCTCGTTGAGGATTCAGGAGGTGAAAATGAGTGAACGGTGAGGGAGGAGAGGAGAAAACAGACTGCAGCGCCTCATCACAGCCGGGCTCGGTGGTGTGAGTTTACCGTGTGAGATCCCGCGGCGTCGGCGAGGCGTGTCGGTGCCGGTCGGAAAGCCTGACTGACTGAGTCGCAGAGTGTTTTTCTGGGTCGGTTTCGGGTCTGTGGACATGTCCCTGTTCCAGTCTGCGCTGGATTTCCTGGCCGCTGCGGGGGCCGGGGGCGCCGGGTCCGCCGGAGCCGCCAGCCGGGACCAGAACGACTTCGTGGGGCAGATAGTGGAGCTCGGGGACACCAAGCTGCGGATCAGACGGGTCATCGCGGAAGGTAGAGTCACGATTCATTCAAAAATGATGACTAACATTAATGAAAACACGAGCCTGACGACGGACTGACAGCCTAAAACTAAACAAGACGATGTTAGCTTCCTATTTGCGCACCTTCTTGTCCGAATTCTCCCGTTCCACCTTACATGATGCAGTAGTTACATTCAGGCGCCCAGCGGGACCGTTTAAGGTGGAACGGAAAAATTCGAAGAAGAAGCTGAATTCAGCTAACGACACCGGCACATCACCCGATTAAAACAGCAAATTACGGCTTCTGGGTTGAATTCAGAAGCTCGTCAAAACACTAAAAGAGCTTTTAGACCATATTAAACTGACGTTAGCTTTAGCAGCCACCGGCTAACTGGCTAAACTAGCCTTAGCAACGTCTGTTGTCGTTCGTTAGCTTCCTGTCTTAGCCTTAGCCTTAGCCTTAGCCTTAGCCTTAGCTTAGCCTCAGCTCACTGCTGGTGGCAGTTTATTCCGATTATCCGTCAGTGTGAGTATTTTAGTATTTAAGTATTCAGAACATGACGGTAAATGATGATTTTACACACTCTGTTAACGTGAATATCGCATTTATTTAGTAAACCGCTCAGAGCTTTTGCTGTCGAGCAGGTTAGCCGGTGTTGATGATGAAACATGACATAACATCAGTTCTGCCTCACGGAGTTAACGTACTAACTTAACTGGGGGCCTGGAGGGGCTGAACATCATCTATACTAGCTTTTCGACTCTGTTAGGAAGGGCAGGTGGATCATCTGGGCCTGTCAGCCCCGTCACCTTTCCACCTGCATATCTGATGGGGTTTGATGTTTATCACTGTTTCCCAAAACCGGATTCTGGAATAAGAAGGAAGCTGCACTTTTGATAAAATCAGCACCTGATTAATTTTCATTCTTAACTGAATTGTTATGCCATTATTTTGAGACGTTAAGTAATTATTTTGAGATGCTACATTATTTTTAAATACTGTCTCATCATTTTGAGATACTAATAGTTATTTTGAGACTTTTTGACCTTTTTATTGTTTTGAGATGCAAAGTCATTATTTTGAGATACTATCTTGTTATTTTGAGATGCTAAGTCATTATTTTGAGATACTATCTTGACGTTTTCAGACGCTGTCATTATTTTGAGATACTACTCATTATTTTGAGGTACTATTTGTTATTTTGAGAATATCTCATTTTGAGACACTCGTTATTTTGAACACAAACACAAAGTTGTTGTTTTGAGATGACAAGTCTATTTTGAGGTACTGTCTCGTTATTTTGAGACACTAAGTCATTATTTTGCGATGTTTTTTCATTATTTTCAGAAATGTTCTTGTTGTTTTGAGAAACTTTCTCATTTTTTAAAAACTTTCCAACTATTTTCAGAAACTTTATTGTTTATATTAAATATATGCTTACATTTATTTGTATTTTTATTTCAAAATAATGAGAAAGCATATAACATTATTATTATTTTGAGAATATTATCTCAAAAAAATGACCTTGCATTTCAAAAAATGAGAGTATCTCAAAATAATGGCATAGCCATTTACTTAATAACAAAAAATAATAATCAGGTGCTGGATTTTTTGTATTTTAAGTGGCTGGAATGGGCTTCCATGCTATCTTGTGTCTTCCTGCTCTGAGAGGCTCTTTAAACTCTCTTTTTAAAGTCTCCGTCCTGCTCCGGGTGTGACTTTGCACTGTGTATGTTAATGTGCTGCTGCTCTTACCCTCCTGTTTAACTCTGCGTAAGCTGTGTACACAGTGCGCTCGGTCCTCTCCTCTCAGTGCGGCCATATGTGGAGCTGTTCAGATCACAGTAAAGAGAATGAGAGGAATACGTGTCCAGATCCGGGGTTTATGTGGCCGGTACAGTCCAGAACCACTGATGAATAAAGCTTAGCTTTGACATTTAAAAGGCCTGTATAATGAACACCTGAGCCCACTTTACTGTAAAGGTTTGGACACGCGGTGTGTTGTTGACATTTGTGTGTTTAACTACATTAATAACGTTGCTATATAGAACCTATTTTGAAGTCATTGTTTTGTTTTTTGGTGGATGTCTTAAAAACCAGCATATTTACATTCATCGATCAGGCATAACTTTATGACCACCTCCTTGTTTCTACGCTCGTTGTCCATTTTATCAGCTCCACTTACTATATAGGTGCACTTTGTAGTTCTACAGTTACAGACTGTAGTCCATCTGTTTCTCTGCAAATTTTGTTAGCCCCCTTTTACGCTGTTCTTCAGTGGTCAGGACCCCCATGGACCCCCACAGAGCAGGTACTATTAGGGTGGTGGATCATTCTCAGCACTGCAGTAACACTGACATGGTGGTGATGTGTTAGTGTGTGTTGTGCTGGTACGAGTGGATCAGACACAGCAGTGCTGCTGGGCTTTTTAAACCCTGTGTCCACTCACTGTCCACTCTATTAGACACTCCTACCTTGTCAGTCCACCTTTTAGATGTAAAGTCAGAGACGATAGCTCATCTGCTGCTGCACAGTTTGTGTTGGTCATCCTCTAGTCCTTCATCAGTGGTCACAGGACGCTGCCCACAGGATGCTGGACACTGAAGAACAGGGTAAAAGGGGGCTAACAAAGTATCAGAGAAACAGATGGACTACAGTCTGTAACTGTAGAACTACAAAGT